TTACTCTTGTAATTGAGATTAGAGAGATTAGGGCTAATGTAATGAATCTAAAGTTGACCCTAAATCCAAGTACTTAATCTAATTTCTCCAAAAGTAATCATCCACACAACATAGAGATATTGACTCATGTAGAAAACCAACTCAAATCAAACACAAATTTTAATAGTACAGTTCAATTATCGTTCTTCTCTAATTAATTGGTACCGATTAACTTACCAAAAAGCTAAAAATTCAACAAAACTCACAAAGTGCATAATTATTCAGCAAAAAAATCACATTTACAACAATAATACATATGGAATTTGAAATGAGTGCACATCCTGTGATGAAAATGGTTTTTATACCTCAACAGCAAGGTAATCAAGGACATCAGACATATAAATCGGAGCTCTGGTACCGACACACTGCGAATAGCGACCTTTCTTCAAATACCGGCCTATCCTGCCGACCGAAAATTGTAGACCTATCTTGACGGAGCGAGAGAAATTGGCTTCTTCTTGGGGGGCCCCTCCCTTTTTCCTCCGGCTCCCTTCTTCAGTTTACCACCCAATTGAGGAGTGGGTTTGTGCTCAAATGAAGATTGGAATTTAGGTTTAAGACATATTAATTACGGATGGAATTGTTTAATTAATTTTAAAAGGGTATTATTCAATTTAATTAGTTTAAGAGGGTATTGGGCCTAATTTTCCCATAAATCCAAGTAAATTGTACTTAAAAATACTTATATCCAATAAAATCGAAACTCACAAATAAATAGAATTTCAAATGACGGAGAGTTATTTGCAGTCGAAAATAGAAATTTAATAATTTTCCCTATTTTTTATTTGCTAGTTAACATTTTCCCTTAATGCATCTAACATTTTTAAATGATTTTTGAGATAATAATAAATCTTGAAATGTCAAAGGAAATATTGAAAATGAGTTTTAAAAAATTAATTTCTGGATAGAATGCTATTAGTAACTAAAGGAATTACACAGAAAAAAATAAATAATTTTAATATCGAAGAAGTACGTCATTAATAATATAATAGTTACAAATATTAATGTATTAGTTAGTACAAAAAGTTTTGGTCTTGTGTAATTTCATACGACATGATATATTTTGATCGTGATCGAAATTAGGTCTTATTCCATAACACGAAGCGAGATTTTGGGCGTAAAATGAATGTTCTTTTAGCATTCATACGTTTGTTATTGATGCAAGAAATACCGAAGACGATGTTTCAATTTTTAAGCAATCATAATTTTTGTGAATGCAAAGAAGTGGTATCAAATTCTGCTACATGTGCAAAACTCGAAAGCAATGTTTATGAAAGATACCCAACACAAAATCTGATATTTTAAGAATATTTGCATTTATCTGCAACTTCTGAAATAAAGATTGGATTTAAGAATACATTTAAATATTTCCTCCATTATCGTGCCTTGATACCCAAGTTTGAAAACCCTACAGTGAACATATAAAGAATTAATTAATTTTCTGTGTGATTCACAAAATAAAATGAGACCTCTATTTATATGAATCAATGAGGTAATGTTTTATTTTGCATTTTCACCATTCCTAGGTTACAATTATTTAAACCCTAAAGTTTACTGCCCAAATTGGCTACATATTTAATGTCTGTCCTATGACATTAAATTTGTGAATTAATATGATTTCTGTCATTCCAGAACTTGAATCGTGTTTGGTGTACTATCATGGATGACAACCTTATTTACGGAATGTCACGTGACATGTGATTGGACAGTTTTAACAAAACGTTATTTTTCAGTTGACAGTTTTTTGTCAACACACCAATTGTCAACAAAGTTGTCATCCATAGTTGTACAAATAACATTATTTTTCCTTTTTATCATTTAGAAACTTTTAATGCCTCCAAATATGCATTTTTGTTTTAAAAAAAAGTGGGGCAAATTCGAATTTCATGAACCAAGACATTGCCTATGAGTAGTTGGCTTGGGGGCATGGTTAGAGCGCTAACTCGTATCTTGGTCAAGCTGCTTACCGCGACCTTGATAAGGCTGGAACAGGAAGGACCGTTGGATAGCAAACGGTCCATGGAAGAATCGGTTCTGGCTAGAGGTATGTTATGCTTCATAAGTGTACTGAAACTTGAAAACTTGCATACGATGGGCAAAACTACAAACTTGGCTTCAACACTACCGTTTGTCTCAAACAGACCAGTTTTGTCCATTCAAGAAAATTGTCCAGCCAAACTGTCGAAACTCAAAAGCAACCCTTGCACGAGGATAACACTTAGTAGTATAGTATCTACATTGACTGAAAGGGATTATTCTCCACCTAGTATCACTCGAATGAACACAAAAATGCTAACTTATTGTGTGATCGGTTCACAACATCATGAGACAATTCAATCCATATGCCATGGGTACCTTTGAGAGTATGGAGAGCACCTTTCCACATATTGATCGTTTGTATAATTTCTGATCTTAAATCTGGAACTTAGAGGTGTGTAATTGTGTGTGTATTCTTACCCCAGTTCCAATGGGAAAGAGATGATGAAAACTTCTGCAACAAATTTGTTGGATTGTTCAATTAAGTTCTTTATTTTCAGTCTGTGGCATTAAAGATGGTTATGCTTAGCACTGTTTTTGTGACACTCGACTAGTATATATGTGTAGTAGTGTTGTCTACTATTGTATTTCAAACATGTCCGTAGAACATGTGGGATAAATATTTCTGGACGGGATTGGACAACTCTATAAACAAGATTTAGAATCTCTTATTTTATATGGTAGTTGTTTTTGTACCACATTCCATGTAATATTTTCTCCATGCCTCATTAAATAAGATTAAAATTGGAGTGGTCCAACTAATGAATCAATAACTAACCATCTCATAATATTGAAGGAGCCAAGTTCATCATAAGCCCACATACCCCTCCCCACCCCACCCCACCCCAAGAAAATATCAATTATTTTTGGAAATCTTCTCTAATATATCCCAACCCCACCCTAACTTCAACTATGTTGGATCTTTCATCGGACATAAGAGTGCAATCACAAAATTCTAAAATCCATTTAATTTTAATTTCTGAGAGGTATTCATCAGCCATAAAGAAGTACCAACAACCATGAAGCAGTTGTCACCATCTCAATAGAAGCCAAATGTTTTGCATTGGTTTTTTTTCAAGATGAAAAAGAGTTTCCAGCTAGACTTGAAGAGACACGTAAATTTTCAGGCTAGGGGACCATCAACTGATTGAAGGGTAGCGAAATCAAAAAGATAAAATGAAAGAAAGATCCACCTAAGTCGAATTCATCTTCTCAACATGTTTAGCACGTTCGACTAAACAAAACTATACAGGACAAAGAAAGATAGATATGTAATTAGTTTCTAGACTTTTTTTTATTGCATCAGAATTGAAATATATGTAAGGTTTCAAGATTTCTGGTTAGGTTGCCTGTTAATTTCAAGGGCTCCTCAAAAGACAATCATTCGATGTTGTCAACCATTACCAGAAAGGCTAAGTAGCTAATAAATCGAAATAAATGACATGTTGGTATAATTAAAAGATAAATATTGTTATAAGCAAGAGTCAACGTTTTGAATATTGCTACATGGTAGGCTAGTAATGTTAAGTTGTAAAACATAATCACCTCTACCCACCCCACCCCACCCCACCCCAAGCTGTTATACTGTTTCTGATTTTATTTTTTATTTCTTTATATATTTTTTATTTTTTGCAAAATTGAGGAAGTTGATAGGGGCATGAACTGTTTCATTTTGAAGGCATGAATAATTGACTAATTCTATACATAGGATGCAGCCTAATTGTTTGTTCTCATTCACACTTTCAATTCAGGAAACCGGCAAAAGGCTCTCATCCAGCCCAAAAACAGGAAACAAGGAGATAGGGTGATGTGTAGGGAAATAATTGGGTGTTATGTGTGTGTGTGTTTTTTTTTTTAAACTGTCCAATCTGACGCCGACACATGCCCTCCCTGGATTTAAACCTGGATTCGAGCATGTTCCTGTAGCATTTCTCTTATATACTGGGATGTGCACAGTGCATACTTCAATTTCTTACGCCTAACTAGTTCCAGAAGGTCAAAAAAGTCAGTGACATAAGGGAGCCGGCGATCCGAGGAAAATATAAAAATGTATTTAGCCCTCAACCAGGTTGGAATACACTGTTCTCATAGTGGTACCAGATTTGACACCTCAGATGTGCTATAAGGAGAGCAACTATGAAAATCGGTTCATTAAATCATATCTTCCACCCAAAAAAAAAAAAAAGCCAAATTCATGATAGAATCAATCAAAAAGCAGCAAAATAACATGAAAAACAGAAAGCAATTCAAATGGCTTGAAGCAAAGTTGAGCTCTACTCAGTCTCTCAGATAAAAAAAATATGAAAGTCATGCTGGAATGTTGGACTGCTGATACATATATAATAGCAAACTGGGATTGAAAAACCTGAAACTAGACTCAGTATTCTTCTTCCACGCGGTAGGCGTCATTGAATTGAAATCACTGAAAACTCTCCTGAGAACCAAGATTCATCTACAACAGCAGTCAGCAAGTACTTGAATTTTTAAGGGTTCTCTTATTGGACAAACAGATAACATCCTGCAAATTGAGTCCAATGTAATAGAATGCTACCGTACTAAACGTATATAGAGAACATGTTACGAAGATTAAATAGAGTTAAAATAATTAAAAAATCGGAATTTAGAAGATTACCTGTTTATGAAGAGGAGAGCTATTTCATTATGTGATATAAATTCAATGGCGAGAATCAGAGGACGATGGCTCCTTGGTATATCCATCGTTCTCCTCTTTATCACCTTGAATTCGTGCAGGAATATGAAACTCGGAGAATCCACCTACTGTTGAAGTGAATTCAACACCAGATAATGATGATGAATAAATTGGCATGGCTGCTGGATTGTGATGATGATGATTCTGGCTATGGTCAGCCGTGGCAATACCTATGGTGGATGGGTCCATCCACGCACGAATTGAAGGTGTGTTACTGGACTGAAGGGGTCCCCTCTGAGAAAAAAGGCTTTGGCCTAATAGCTGCTGCAGCACTGGCTGCGAAGTGAACAGATATCCTGCTGCTCCACCACTCCCACCGGTGATATCTCCACCACTGTTCCAAGGAGCCAGCCCCTGGAACCGGCTTATTTCTGTGGGCTGGTACTGATAGTGTTGAGACAACCCTGCATAAGAGCCATCAAACCCCAGTAAGCTGGTTCCATTGAATGAGGTTTGAGGCTGAGAATATGCTTCTTCAGTGTGGTGGGTGGGGTTCTTGTGGTGCGGCGGCTGAGGCTGTTGGGGGTGGGGGTGGGGGAGCATAAGTGGATCTTGAAATGACTGCAAAGAGAGCCTCAGATCCTGACTCTGGCAACTAGTTCTTGAAGTACCTATTGGGAAAAATGACTTTATAGTATCTGCAATGGAATCCGAATCCAAGGACGGAGGAAGAAAACTTGCGTTGGGATCCGCATTACTGCTCTGGTGCAACACTTGCAGACCATTTTCGTTTCCCAACATTGACATTGCCCTTTTACTCGAAGAACCTGCAATATTAGGGTCCACCACACGAGCCTGTTCTTGTTCTTGCTCCAAAATAGCATCTTCTGCCAAAAAATTTGTGGGATTCCATGCAGGCAATTGCTCGAGCTCATCAATGGCGGGCTTAGCCTTTTTCATGAGCCAATCCACTGCTTTGCTCGGGCGGTCATAGCCAAGCCGATCCTGGACATCGTAAAACTGAATAGCAGTGTGAGCAGCAAGGCGTACACGGCGGTCCCTGGGTCCTTTTGAGGTGCATACTTTACTGTGCCGGTCTTTTCGCCCGGTGGACCGTACAATGTGGCCGCCTTGGACTTCCACTATATCGCCGCCAGTACGGTTCCTCCGCCCTAATCTTGACGGTATTCGTTGGCTACGAGTATTCTCTTCCATTTTTCCCCGCAATCTTGCATGTTCAGCACTTGCCTCAAATGAAGCAGATGAATTCAAGAACAACCGTTTCTTGGGCGGCGGCGGCGGTGGTGATGGTTCTTCTCCTCCTCTTCCTCCTCCTTCTTCCCCTTCTTCTACATATCTAGAGGTCGTTCCAACCTGATTTTGGTTCCTATACGGATGAAGATTACGCCGAGGAATCCTAACAGAATCCAGACTCAAACCCTTGTTATGAATTTCTTTTTCCAGTCGTTGATTCAGAAGAAAACAACTTTATAATTCTTGTTTACAAATTACAGTGGTGTTTCTACAAAATCTAAAACTACAACCTTCCGAATCCCCTCAGAGAACAGAAGGCTAAACCATAACTAACTAACTTTAGCCTAACCCATCTTTTTGCTTCTTACTTTTCACAGCTTTTGATGATAGGGATTAGGGCTACTATCTATACACTAGTCTGGTATCTGTATTTAACAAACTTACTACAGGAATACAAAGAGAAGAGATCTCTAGTCTAGGGTACTATACCAGTTGAAATATCAAAGCTATTCAAGACGAGAGCCTATCAGTAATTTTTTCATTTTCCTTATCTTAAACACGGTAACTTAAAAATGGAAGTTGTCTTACCGCAAACCCATGTGTCAGAAGCATCTGATGTTTTTGTACACCCAGCACACATAAATACCAACCCAGGAAAACTCCCTCTGGTTTATTTGCAACTAAGGCCTTGTTTGGCTGAGGTTAAAATATTTACTCAAGGGAATATGTAAATTATACAATATTTCTATTGTTTAAGTTAAAGACAGGCTACCTGTTACTTAAGAAAATTTTTAGTTATGATTTAAGCATAGCCAAACATGTTGGCAACTTGTCACGGATAATTAGCAAAAAAACATTCCTATTAATTGCAAAAATAGCCCTTATCATTCAAACTTGACATTTACACCCTCATTTCAAACATATCTTGCGTAGTCAGTTCTTTCCGTCATGTTGCTTTAAATCATTCCGTGAAATATAGGTAATTGGTACAAAAAAAATCCCTATCATTTGCACTATCATTTCAATTTTGACATTTTGACACTCAAATTGACATTTCTTTAAACAAAAAGTTTTTATCCTCCACGTTTTCTATTAAAGTATTGTAAAGTGACTAATTTATCCCCTCTTTAATAATCAAATAGAAGAGAAAGAAATAATATAAAAAATTTGCATATGGAGTTTCAATTTTTTAAAAAAAGTAAAAAATAGTCTCACATAGAATAAATTAAAATACTCAAACAACATAAAAATATTTTATCATCCCAATAAATCCACCACCCCTACGCCCATCCCCTACCCTCCACCACAACCACCAAAATAATTAAAAAAAAAAAAAAGAATTAAAAGTATAAAAAAATAAGAAGATAATTAAAAAAAATTGCTTCTTCCCCATACAATCCCGCACCCTGCCATCAGTCGCTGCCCATTCTCCTCATTCCATCGTAGCACCATCCTAGAATTTAGTTATTTCGTGTAATCAAGTTTCGTAATCTAATCTCTCTTTGTTTTCAACAAAATTATACAGGTTTTTCAGGCGATATAACAATTTTCAACAAATTTTCATTTCTATCTTCTTTTTGCTAATTAGACACGCGCACATATACACTCATTGCATCAACTTTTGAATTTTGTTCTGATTTTGTCAAAGAATGGATAAATTTCTATATGTGAGGTAAAATAAACTTGGGTGAAAAGGAAGCATCATTTTTTTTTTTTTTTACTTTTTATTATACTTCGAATTCTCTTTTTAATTATTTTGATGATGGTGAAGGATAAGGGATGGCGTAGGGTATGTTGATTAATTGGAAAGATAAAATAGTTTTCTTTTTTTAGACAAAGAAGGGCCAGTTTGAGTGTCAAAATGTCAAAATTAAAATGATATGAACTTTTTGCACTAATTACCTATATTTCAAGGAAGGATTTAAGTGAACGTGATGAAAATGATCAACTCCGTAAGAAAGATTTAAAATGAGGATATAAATGTCAAATTTAAAATGATAAAGACTATTTTCTCAATAAATACAAACGATATGAATATTTCTTCTTTTTCTTTTTTTTTTAATGTTAATTACCCGTTACAATTTTCACCATAGGGCTGCCTCAATTTTTTTTTAAGGAATGTGCTACTTGTACATAATGTCGTGTCCATAATTGTGTCCACCTCCTCACATGAAGGGAGACCCACTTTGAATATATCATATTTTATTCAAAGTGGGTTCCCCTCCATGTGAGAATGTGGACACTGTTATGAACACCCCATTATACACGTGTAGCATCACCCTTTTTTTAATTATTTAGTCAATGGTTAGAGCAATTGATTATAGAGTTAAGGAGATGTGTGTACACAGGGACAGATCCCCTCCCCTTTCGCTTTCTTGAAAATGACCTCTTACTGCCTTTTTCCACCTCCGTTTCATTATTTCTCTCTCTTTATTATTGCTTCATTTCAAAGGATCCAACGACGCCGTTCTTGTCTTTTTGGTTACCTCCATTGACTGGAAAATGATAAAAGATTGAACTCAAATAAAAATCGAGTAGGTGATTCTTAAATGGTTTACCATCTTTTACAAGTAACTTGACCAATTTGTAATTTGGTTCTCCATTTTATTGGTCGAGGCTTGTACAATCTTACTTGAGTAATGTTATTTAGCACTATTAGGGTCCGTTTGATAGGCAAATGTGGAAATAAATTTCAATTTGATGCTAGTTGAAAAATAAAAACTCATCAAACCCATAAAAATTCATTTTCCATAAAAACAAAGAAAATGCAGTTATAAGTGGTTGTACATTGGAATTCGATTTCCATTTTCACGTTGCAATCAAACTGCCAACCTGAAAATCATTTTCCCAGATATGACATTTTTCATGGAATTCGCTGCAATCAAACAGGACATTAGTGTTTAACACATATCTGAATGACAATTAGAAGTCATTAAATAATATATTCTCATTTAATAAATGTGTGGGTGACAATACTCTCAACTTTAATTATTGATGAAAATAAATTTAAATTAAATGACAATAACGTTCCCTTTATTAACCAATTAAAACTATAGAAGCTTGACAATTTTTTTGCATTACAATTTTTTTAAAAAAATTATATTCACACCATAATTTAAATTTCTTTCATCACTTTTAATTGCACCTAAGGTTCTTAATCTTTGCTCATTACCCTAACAATTTTCTATGCCATTCTTAAACTTTTCATTAATTAGCACATTTTATATTTGATAATAATTTTATGTTCAAAAGGTAAAAGTCCGTTGAAATGACGTAAAATAAATTATTTTTTTCATTATATTTTTAAAAAATAAATAAATAAAAAGTGCGAAAAAATAATTTTCCCTTATTTGAAAGCATGAAAAAAATATTTTGAGATAAATAATCATTAAGAACGTGACGTACTAATTAATAGAAGGTTGAAGATAATAATTCGACAAAAAAACAAATTAACCAAATAATTGGTACAATAAGTAAAAATTGAGGATTTTAATTTTAATTAAAATATGGCCCTTGTTTGTTTGGCATTTTAAGTAAAAAATGTGATCGTTGAAAACTTGAAATAGGGGATTTAGCCACCATTTTTGCCTTCGACCAAAATCTTTTTATGGTGGGACCCACAAATCAGGCTATCAAAAAACTCATTTTAATGTAAAAATAATGTAAGACAAAAATAGGGGCATGGTGTATCAAATAAAAATTGCGATAACATTATAATCAACTCTTTTTTTTTTCTTTTTTTTTTATTTGCTAGTACGGACAAATTGGCCTTTGACAACATTATTTTTCCCAGTGCTTTGCACGTAGAGTACAAACCTCACCGTACTTACATCCTCGACATGATTATTAAACTATGATCTAGCTTTTCAACAAAATAATTGTGAATAGAAATTTTGTTGTTATTATAATTTTTTAATAATAATTATTATTAAGAAGTTTTGACTATTTGG